AGGGCGGCCGCGGCCCGCGCCCCGGCGCAGCATCATGGCGCTCCAGGTAGGCGCTTCGGCGTGTGCGAGAGACAGAAGCTGGATGCAGCGGGGAAGGGAGGGAGGGAGGGATGTGCTGCAGCCTCCGCAGCGTAATGCTGCGTGCGAGGCAGCGGCACTTCTATGGCACAAGGATTACTAATGCAAAAGTGAGGTTATCCTGCAGCATGAGAGATTTCCATGAGCCTTGGGAGGTTGAATAGTGCATTGGGTTTGGTAAAAATATATCATGTTCAAAATATGAGGTGAACATGGGTCATGTAGTTATGTTGAGAGGGGAGACTTACGTGCTGCGAGTGTGCAACAACTGTTCATGTGTCAGCCTGAGTTTGCTTTTGCAAACTTGAAGTTTTTTTAAGATATTGTTATTTAGAGCTAAAAACACAAAGGGAAACTTCTAACTGAGAATCAATGGTATATGTCCTTTGGGGAAACATGAGTAATTTTTAAGGGAGTGGTGGACTTTTTTAGGTTATGTGCGTTTTTTGAGAGGTTGCATTTTGAAGGATATGTGTGTTTCATAAGACAACGAGACCACCAGGAGCATCGTTTAGCCATAACCTTCAGCCTGACGAGATGTGAGCAGTTCCCGAGGAGTAATCCTCTCTGCTGGCAGTTAGCCTCCTACCTTTGGAGCAGAGCGCGAGTATTTCCCTTACGTTGCCCATGCCCAGCAGAATTCCGCAGTTCTCTGCTGTCCCTCTCGCGTTAAGCGCTGCAAGCCCCTTTCTCCCAGCCTCGCTACACGTGTGAGCTACGCCTGACCCAGGTGCTTGGGCACGGCGCAGGAGCCCAGCGGTTTCTTCTGCGCGGCGACCGCGGGCGAGCGGCCTTGGGGTGCTCCGCAGCTCGAGGCTTGGACCTTTATTGGTGGGTCAGGACTGCTGGGTCCCAAACGTAACAACGCTTTTGTGTAATTAACAGTCATTGAAATCACATTTCGGCTTATCTTTTATTCGCTGTAGAAAACAAGTTTCTGATACTTTAAAAATGAACAATAAATCACTATTAGGAAGAGCTGAGTACAGTAGGATGCTATTATTACATACAGTTATACCTCCCTAGGAAAATCCATGGTTGAAATACAGGATTCTACACGTTCTGCATTTAAATATTGCAGAGGTTTCTTATCCATTATCATTTTGGTTGACAGCTACCACCCGTACCCATAAAACGTCTTTAAATCAAGCTCTAGGGGAATTTAAGGACAAATGGATAAAATGCTGTTTTCACCAAGGAGACTGTGCAGTATCTCTAGGATTAGTTTTGCAAACTGCTAAAACACTGTGCTGGAAATGAGGAATTCATTCAAGGTTTTTTTTTTTTTTTTTTTTTTTTTTCCCACTGCGTTATTATTACATGGTAATAGTCTGAGAGTATTTATTTTTAATGTGTGTGTATATTTTTATGTATTTGTGTGTCCATAAATACGTCTCTACAAAAAATACTTCTGCTTTTAATCCAGAGAGTTAAAGGGAATTCTACCAGCACATGATTAAAAGGAAATTACATTTTTTCAAATGCCACTAAGCATGTTGTGTAAGCAGGCAAATCCTAAACAACATCTTCCCTTGGGTAAGGGTGCTTAAGGAAAGAAATTCTGAGTATTAAAATTTCATTTCTGACTCTTTTTTGGGGCAGAAGATATGTCCCTGCATATATTTTAAAACAGTGTCTATATTTGCGTATGAATCAAATAAAAGTATATTAAGCATAAGATAAGAAGTTAATGGCCTCCTTTCTCGATTTTTGTTTTTTTGAGTGGTCTTTTGTGTAAGTCTAACAACCGTTCTGGTTCATTCTTATTGTGAAGGTTCAGTCAACAATTCAGGGCAATGGGAAGATTTCCAACAACTTGAATAGTCTTTGTATCCCAGTTTGGACAGAGACTCAAATACTGTACTGGCCACAGTGCAAAAATGAACATAGGAGCATATTTTATCTGTAATCAATCAGTCAATTTAGCTCTGTTTTATTACTGATGCAACGTTTAAATCTTACTGTCAACCGAGCGTGAATGCTGTTTTACTGCTATGTGGATGGATAATATTAGGAGATCTGTGGTGTAAGAGATAGCTATAAAGACATCACAACAGTTTTCCTGTGGTACCTTGTATACATAAACAAATGTGTTAGATCTGCTGATGTTTGGATTAAGAATGAAATAGTCATTTAATAGAGTTTTATCTATGCAAGAAATCTCCAGGGTGGTGAGGTCCATTCATTTTCTCGAACAAAACATCGAGTGTGTTGATGCACAAACTACTACCCCAGTAATTGGTGTTTAAAACAAAGCCAGTCAGGCCCCTCAGGTGTTACTTAAGCTCTGACAAATTGGGAGATACTTTAGAAAGTGTTTAACAAGCCACTCGTTCAACTGAGGTCTGAGAAATCTCGCACAGCTCTCCAAACTCTCAGTAAGACAAATAATCATTTCTTATATTTTTGATATTAAACTTTGAAGAAGAAGTATTTACATTTCCTTCATACAGAACAAGGAGTCAAAAGAATATAAAGAGCCTTTGTTGTCTGCAGAATCCATTTTTATTTCTGAGCCAAGCTAATTAAATCCAGTCATTTCAATTAAAATAGTTCTCATAATCAGTTTAATTCCTGCTACAGTGCTGATTTTTTCACTAAACAATAGAGAAGCTGGAATCCAAAAATGCTCAGAGAAGAGATGCTGTAAGGTCATAACAACATTATTGATTCAGCTTTTATATACAGCCTGATGTAGTTGCATCAGGAGACGTAATTTGGAGTTCTCTAAATTAGGTGCAACATATTTTGAGTGTTTCGTTTTTAATTCCAGGAAAATCCTTTATTTGTTGTTCAGTGCTCCCTCCTATTTGCTTGGCTTAGAAAAGACTCACAGTGTTTAGTTGTTAGCAAAAGAAATCTGGGCAAAAAGATGGACTTTCTGTCCAACCCTTCAAACTTGGTATTTTGCTATGATTCTCTGATAGAGTTGCATTTTATTAATGCTTATAATTCTTGTTATTAAGCAGAAGCAAACGACACATGCCTAAGTGTATGTTTTCATACTATGAGGTTTTAGCTTTAAGAATATTATCTGTTCATCCTTTGATTTAGAATTTAACGGAGTAACTCTGCCAGATGAGCAGATTTATGTGTTTCAGGCAGACGAGTGATAGTTGCAGTCTTGCTGATTCTCAGTGTTGTTCTGAGTAAAGAAGGGAGTCCATCATTATATTTAAAATATCTACACTCAACAGCAGAAATTTTCAAACTTGAAACGAATAGACCATGTTCAAAATCCTAACTACCAGGGCAGCCTGTTGGATTCGGCACCTCATCTCTAATGTCTAAGTGATACAAACGTACCAGTTGTTCCAGTCAACTTAAAGTGCTGCTCTTAAAAATGGTGACAGAGTCGCTGCTACAGTCTCGCGATGAGAAAAAGCAGCTGTGTTGTGCCAAGGCCTTCCAAAGGCAACTAGTGTGCTTCCCCCGGGTATTCTTGCGTTTTTTTTAAATGTAGGAGCCTGCTGCTTTGCCAAAGGAAGGAAGAGGGCAGTTTGGCACAACCTGGATCTACACAGCCCTGAAGATGTAAATTCACAGGCTTGTCTTCCTGGATGGTTCCAGTCTCCCTTTGTTGCTTGAAAAAGGCAATTGAAAGCTGCACAAAAAGCAGGAATTCTCAGCAGGCTCCCTGGCTCAGAACTAGATATCTGGGCAGTTACCAACTAGCCAAACTAAATAGCCAGACAGAAAGACACAAATAATTCCCCTTCAGGAGGCAGCGGTGAGGGAGTGGTGGGAGAGCAGCCAGGCCTCGGCGCACTCCTCGCTGGGCCTCTGGCACGTGGCGCTGCTGCCCTGAGGCAGCCGGCACCTGAGCTACCATTAAGTCAATGAACGTGCTGCTTTGAGGGTCCTTGAAGGGGCCTTTCTTTGAAGAAAGATGCCTGGACATCAGTCTTTAGTTAAACTCTTTTCAATTTTCCTTCTTTAAGTAGTGGCCAGCAATAAGGCAAGAGATAATGGGCACAAATTGAAACATGGGAAGTTCCACCTCCATGTGAGGAAGAACTTATTTCCTGTGAGGGTGACAGAGCCCTGGAACAGGCTGCCCAGAGAGGCTGTGGAGTCTCCTTCTCTGGAGATCTCCCAAACCCGCCTGGATGCCACCCTGTGCCCCGTGCTCTAGGTGTCCCTGCTGGAGCAGGGGGTTGGACTAGGTGATCTCTAGAGGTCCGTTCCAGCCCTAACCCTTCTGTGATACGCTGTGCTTTTGCAAATGCAGATCAAATTCAAAAGCTAAAAAAATTAGTGTAACTAATTAGCAAAGCATATTTAGGTACCCATCTGTTTTTGCATTACTGTATTACAAAAAACTGCTGACTATGTGGTTGCTGTGTGTTATCACACAGGTAACTTTGGACCCTGGCACAAGACTACAAACTATGGGCTCCTGAGACCTAGTAGATAGGGAATATCACCTAGCCCTGGGCTGGGGCAAGTGTGAGGTGCATGAAGATGAACAGATTATTTACATCTTAAATGGATCCCTCTAATAACCTACAGTTTTGTTAAACTTATTTCACAGAAAAAGTAACCCAAAATAATCTAGAGTTATCACTTGCCCAAGTGGTTATTTGAGGACTTTGCCACTTGGGAGGGAATTTAAGACCTCTTTTTTTTTTTTTTCCTTTTACCAGGCTGACTTTGATAGTGCTGCAGAAGATGTAAGAAAATTAAAAACAAGGCCGACTGATGATGAACTGAAGGAGCTGTATGGATTCTACAAACAGGCGACTGTTGGAGACATTAATATTGGTACTTCTCTTACTATAAATACATCGCTTAGTCCCCCATATCTTAATGAAATCTAGCAAATATTATCTAGTAAATCTTTATGATAATCAATAAAGGTATTCATTTATTTTGGCAGAATGTCCAGGAATGCTAGATTTGAAAGGCAAAGCCAAATGGGAAGCATGGAACCTGAAAAAAGGTGCTACAGTAATTAACTTTACATCATGTAATCACTGCTATAGATGAACAAATAAATAATGAAAGATAATGACTCATACTTTCCTTTGCAGGTTTATCAAAGGAGGATGCCATGAATGCCTATATTTCTCAAGCAAAAGCAATGGTAGAGAAATATGGGATCTAAAATACTCAAAATAATTCCCTCTAATAACTAACTTTTCAGTAGCTAATAAACTAACTTTTCTAGGAAAGTGCAATACTAACTCTATATTGTGTAGCCTGACACTAAAAATCTTTGAAGCATGAGCTGTTTGGCCCTAAAGAGCATTTACATGCATGCTGTATTTTAGACTATAACTGTACTTATTCTAAATAAATTTGTACCTATTCATTTAATCTTTCTGTAAGAATTGTGGATTTCTGACAGTATTAAGTTATATTTAGCATTTTCCTATTAGCACACAAAGAAGCTCAAAAAGTAAAACAATATAATTGTTATTTTTCCCCCAAATATGATTATGGAATAAAGTGTTTGCGCTTGTGCAAGATCAGAAGAGGGAAAATGGGGGAATTTTTTATTTTTAAGAAACAAGATCCAAACTTAATGTTTATTCTTAAGAATGAGAAAAGTTGTCCCCTTTTCAAGAAATATAGTAAAGATTCTGTAGGAACACAACAACTTTGAGGAAACTGCATGCAATGGAGAGTAATTTATTAAGAGCTGAACACTAATATTACGCCATCTGTCATAAAAATAGAGAGAAATACTCATAGATCAGCATTTTCTATGCATCTTGTTATGTGTTTCGTCAAAAAAATTTCATTAGAAGGTTCCAGCAGATAAAAGTGACCTCCAGGAAGCTTGTAAATGGAAATATTGCCACTTGTTACATCATCCCAGGCTGAAAAAAGATATTTAAAGTGTTAGAGAAATGTTAAATATTGTTTTACATAGTCATTTCCAGGTTATTATAATTTAAAATCCTGTATGAACTCATTTGGTTGAGACTGTTTGTACTGAGACTGCTCTATGAATTTCCATTTAATTTTAAAAGGAGAAAAAAAAGATTCTAGGGAACTCTGTTCATTAACTGATTTGATACAACAGAAAGACAGCTAAGCGTAAAAAGAAAACCACTTGAGCAAAGTACCTTCTAAATCATGTTCTATATCTTCAGACCCATCAAAGCAGGTAATGTCACAGGAGAGGGGAATATTCCCGTCTGCCTTCTCAAAACTGTGAATACAAAAGGTTGTAGTAATAAACATTTCCATAAGATACTTATATTAGGTTTTGCCTCCACATATGAAATGGTTTTTCTTCTCCTCCCGTGCATAACTCCTGCATTACTCGCAGCACAGGGATGATGGATGCCGGGTCTGTGCAGTGGGGTTAGCGCAGGCAGGGACAGTGGATGGGGAGGCTGAATGCAGTGATCATGAAGCGCAATTAGTTGAGCCTATTGGCCTCAGAAAACAATAAAAGACGTTCAGATCTTCCTTTTAGGTGCTGTTAACTTTGGATCCTACACAGAACTCTAGTTCTACCAGGACATATTCACTACTACAATAGTAGCAGTGGCTGTTAGGGTGAGCTCTGTGGCATAAACCTGGCATAAATACAGAAAATACATGGAAAAGCACTCAACGGAGAAAACTTTATTTACTGTTTCATAATCTTTCTATAATAGAAACTAGAAGAAATTACTAAAAAAGAGAAAAGAGAACCTGACATGATTGCACAGAAGTTAAACTATAATATATACATGTAAAATACAGGTATAAATATAATATAAAGTTGTATTAAACTTACGAAAATGTTTGAAGGACTCTCAGATCTTCCCTGAAGGTAAGAATGACATGTTTACTGATGTCTTCATTTTGCAGCAGCTCAGAAGGAGTTCCTCCTAAAATTTTTAGGTGTGCAACAATGTCTTCATCTTCTATATCACGTAGTCTTTTGATGGGAAGAAATGCTTCAGACTGCCAGCATCAGAGAAGGCACATAAGATGTTTTATGCAGTATACTTTAAATAGTAATTGCACTAACAGTTGTTTTAGTAAAAAACTACAGGGATTCCCTAGTTCCAAAATACAATGGCCAGGCATTTACATGGAATACTTTTGAATTAATAGGCTCTGTTTGCTGAAAATAGAGATTGAGCAAGACACGATTAACCTCAAGGTCTGTATCTTCCACAGATACATAACCAAGATTTGTTTTGCAAGTTTAACTGTCACTTTTGAAATAAAACTAAAAGACTAATCTGTGTAAGGGAAAACAAAGCCTTGTGGTGTACACAAGTAGTGCGGGGCTAGAGAGAGCCCCTGCATTAAGGAAATTTGCAGGAAGTGCTTCCATGAAGCAGAGAGCTAGAGCTCATGTGATATTGCTAAGGAGCCCCAGAAACAAAGGGATGGAAATAGCAAAGGATGACAGAAGACAGGAAAGCTGGGGAAAAAAAGCCAAATCCTCATTATTTTCCTGAGAAAGACTAGCAGAAGCGCCAGAAACACGGAAGCAGAAGGAACTGAGAATGCATAAAAAAAGCCAGCAAAGATTGGGGAGGAAAAGCAGAAGAGGGCAAATGTGCTCAGAAACGAGCAAGTGAGGTTTACGCAGGGGTGTTAGGAGAGCTACACTGCATGCCACAGAGCAGGGCACAGCACTTCGTAGTTTGTTTTGATTGCCTTTGAGTATTAGGCCAAAGACCATCATAAATCACATCATAGAGTAGTCAAATAGGCTAACATTAGCTTAAGGAGCCCATTCTCCTTAGGCTACAGTTAGCCTCTGTGAATATTCTATAACATAAAATTCTCCAGCCACACAGAATTTAATTTCCCCGCAGATAACAGAACATTTTTCTGTTCATTTTTCTGCACATTTTGCTGTGTGCATTCAGAAGTAATAGTTGTTTGGTACTCTGGGTATCATAAACTCACTGTGCACATCATACAGACACCACAAAGTTTTATTTACAATAGCTAAAGGGCCGTTTTGTTTCACACTGTTAAGGATTCATAACTTACATGTGGGGCATGTGCCCCTGATAGGAAAAGGTGGATTGGCTCTAGTCCATATTTTTCTTTCAAGTGTAGAGCAACTGCAAAACTAATGTATGATCCAAAACTGCAATGAAAAGAGAAAGTAAAGCAGTGTAGTCACAGACATGGGCAAAAACTGGAAAATGTGAGCATAATCTGAATTTCAGGACTGGCTGGCCATCTTGGACATTTATTGAAACTATAAATACAGAGCTCTATAGTTCTGTATTAACATTTTTGTTTACATTTAAATTATAGTGATATTAGCTGATTTACTTGTAAAAGTATATTCATATGGGACTAGATTTACAAATCTGACTTTCTCTTGTATTTCTTTTAATGGTTTCTTACTATTATTTTGAGTACATGGGACTATGTGATCTTCAAAATCTATTTGGTTTAAGGTTAGTTCCCTGCTGCATTCATTCCAGCATAACCACTGACACAGATATCAAGAAGAAACAAAATAATAATTTATCAGTGTAAACTAAAAATTGATCACAACACTGCCATTTTTAGAATACATTGGACCTGAAGTGATAAGTAATCTCAGTCTTAGAGATCCGTTTTTGACTTGAAAAGCCTTTGCAGAAGTGTATTTTTCTATAGTTTTTGCAGATAAAGATAAGTAATCATCTACTCCTAGAGTATAAAGTTTCTTCACTGAGGTATCTAGAAATACATATATTTTTACCTGTGACCAAAAAAAGCAAATGGTTTTTCTTGCAGATCTTCTAATAAAACACTTGCAATTTCATTAACCACAGTAGTCATGTCGTTTGCAAAAGGCTCCTTAAAATGAGTTTCTCTCCCAGGAAGCCTTACAGAGTACACTGGAAAAGAGATGGAAGAAGGGAAGGAAAAGAATTACTGACATTTTGAAGACAAACACTAAAATCAGTTTAAGTTACAGAAAATCCTTTAATTCTCTTCCGCAGAATATACGGATTATTTAAATGAATCCTTTTTACAGCTGACATCTTTGTGCTTTTGCTACTGCTATCTATTAATCCTATGATTAAAGAGGGTTTAGGTTTCTGTCACTCTTTCTATTCACAACTGTTGCCTTCCCAACCGATCTTATGCTCTAAATGCTCTAAATGAGGAATTCTGTCTTATAATGATACAAGGTCCTGATCTCAGCTGAAGTTTCAAAGCAGCTTTATTACTATTATTACTAATAATGACAAATTCATTAATTTCAATAACAGTAAGCCTCAGAATTGTGTAAAGAATATCTTCTTAAGGCCAACATTAAGGTAACAAAATATATTAGCATCCTACAGTCCCAGTTTTTCTCCTTGCAGGCTCCTCCAACCTTGTGCACAGTAAAACCTGGAATCATAGTATAAATTAATAGTATTTTATATTTACTCAAAAGGAAACATTTTATCCTTATATTATATTGCTTTCAACATTCTTTATCTTTCTTTCCTTTTTTAGAGAAAATAAGGAATTAATTCAGCAGTAAAAATGTCAATTTTCTACAATATCCCTGACATTAGACATATCTGCCATATTGAAGCAAGGGTTCAGACACACAAAGTATTTTACTACAGTCAGAATAAGCTACTACTTAATACCACAGATAGTCATAGAAAAATGTCCGTGTCTTCTATACTTTCTCTGAGAACAATTAAAATACTTTTGAAGGAGCATGCTGCTGCCTGGTTTGGTTCATCCGAGTTTGCAGTTGTTCCTAGGTCATCTCCTCAGTAACTTTTATTCCCCTCAGAACAGAAGACCTTTTGTTTGTTTGCTTGTTTTAATTTCAAGAAAAACTGGATGTGCCTTGTGCAGCAGTCTATAGGAGGCATGCAAACATTTACGAGACTGGAATAACTGCAGTATTGATGTTTTCCACCTTCTTTGTGGAAAGTCTGGAAAATGACCTGGGTTCCTTGTAAAACAGTTCAGCAGTGGATCTTTTTTAGCGCTCATAAAATTTGATAGCCATGGAAATTACTGTGTAACTAAATACAATTCACAGTTACAAAACCATTGCTTAAACTTCAGTTTTGACACAAGGAGTGCAGAACCTTGCAGACACTCTGGATAACTGAAACACACTCCTTGCAGTCTCTCAATGGTAAAAATTAGTTTTTATATCTTCATTGCTCACTTGTTGATTTAACATACCAACAATGTCACTGTATTGCTGTTTCTTAATCATACCAACAGTTTCTGAAACAGTCACACATCCTGCAGTGGTTACATAATCTAGAGACACATCGGTTGTTTCAGAGTGGCGCTGAAATTGAGTAAACTCAGTATTCTAAATGTAATGACTTTTTGGATAAGGCCAAAAAGTAAATATACAACTGGAAAAACAGATTGCAGCAC